GGGCAGCGGAGGGGAGGTCACAGCCTTCACAACCTGTGATGCTTTGTTCATGTTCCCGCCCAGCTCCCTTGCGTCATCGTTTGCCAGTGAGCTGAGCAAGGCCAGACTGTACTATCAGCAGCAAGCGCCGCCCCACCCCTTCCCTGCTCTACTACCTCTGGTGGCATATAGGGTAGATTGCCCTGCCAATACGCAACAAACTTTGATGCACTTTGTGTTCAGGCACCTTTCCATCAAAGCCAGCATTAACTTTTTCAGCAATTTGAGCTACAGTAGCTCTTCTATAGGATCGGACTACATGGGGCAGCCTTCGTTCTCCATGTGCATCAATGAGCCTTGGCCACCCAAGACCCTGTCGCCAGTTCACCGATTTTTCTTCCTTGGACCACTTTTGGCAGGTCCTGACCACTGCAGACCGGGAACATCCCTTAAGAGCTGCAGATTGGAGTTTCTCTGACCCAGTCGCCTAATTACCACAGTTTGGACTTTGTCAGATTTGCTCAAATCCTTACACTTCCCATTTTTCCTGCTCAGTGACAAAATGTTCACTTGCTGCCTAATATATCTCCAATCACTTCCAGGTACCATTGCAATGACAATCAATATAATTCACTTAACCTCTTAGTGGCCATAATGTTAGGACTGATCAGTGTATATAGATATAATAACATACATTAACCAGAAAATCTTTTTCGGTTTTACTTTGATTTAGTTTTAGTTGTTACTAATGTCTTGGCTTAATGGCTAAGCCCTGTGAACGGTTATCCTGCTTTCAAATGATGCTGCTCACATATGTGGTACATGTGTGCTGTTTTTATCAGCCATTCAATTTGAATGGCACCCAACACACATATTTTACCAGTAATCAAAAGGCACCTGCATTATTGGACACCACAGCGCACAAATGTAAACACTTGTGTGTGTGTTACGGTGTACTAGGTTAGCAAAAACAGTGCAGATGCATTTTCTCAGAAGAAGCCTTAGCACATGTGGATTGAAACGCCACAAAACCCAAAGTCAGGCCTTTGTAAGGTGACAAATTAAACAAAATCACAGAGG